ATATCTAGCCTCAGCATGTAATCTCAGTTGAGATCCTAGACTTGATACCTACATTTGGTGCTCCTCTTCAACATCTCCATTATCTATTTCTAGGATGCTTTGCATATATTCTTCTATAACTTCTATTATTTTAGTGTCCTTTCAATAACATGCTGCTCCTGTCAGTTTCCAAAAAAACATTGCTTTTGTAGTATCCAGACAATAAATATAATCCATATCAATTTTTTCTTATTTAAATAAGCTTGCTAGTCCTCTCCTCATCATTTAACTTATGCCTATAATTAAATCCAAATTAAAATATAAGAGAGTCCTGTCAATGAAGTTTCATAACACTACAGAGAAAACAAATTAATGCAGATTCCAAGAAACTCACTGAATATAGGCTTGCTTTTCCAGTGCCTGTTGAACTACATTCACATAGCATACCAGATCTTTCTAACTTTTAATTGCATTTTCATGTTGAGCATCATCTCCTGCTTTCCAGGAACAACAGATATTCCACAGCGCACTCAAAAAAACTCTTGAGCTCCCAGAGACAAAACTTAAGAAGGGACCAGCTGCTCTTGCTTGAAAAAAGTGAAACAAAAAGAAATTTCAGTTCTGATCTAGACAGAAATTTTGTGCCTTAGCAACAGTAACAAAGTAGAAGCGATGGGAACTTTGCACAACTAGCACATTATTGCTGCCATATCTCTAACTTCCTCACATAAAAGACGGTGAAACTATGGAGGTATATAAAGCAATAGTAACTGTAAAATGTAGATGACAGTTTTTCAGGAAGGTTTGGGACAATATACATTTCCATAAAGAGAATGTCCTGATCTTAGAGATCTCATGCAGGTAACTGTAGTTATGCTAACTTATTTTTCTGATTTTTCAACATGAAAAACATATTGAAATCTGTGACTTGACTTTGGGATTTCCAATTTGTTTGTTTTTTTTACTGATGTGAATAAACTTGAGATAAAGCTAATTTCTGAGACTGTAGACAAAGGAGCATTCTACCAAAAACTCCTGGTTGTCTGGAAACCGGATGAGTTCTAATGGCTCCAAAAACAAAGACAGGTGAATAACAGTTTGGCAAGTCACAAGAATGATGACAATCAGTGTCGGTTTGCCGTGGACTTTATTGCAAACTTACTTTGATTTAAACTTGTAACAGCATTTGTTCACTTCAGTGACAGTGCTAACTGTATCTGTATACTGAAGTAAAAATCAACATTTAATGCTGATCTTGTTTTGATGATGTATGTATTTCCACGTGCATTTTTTACTGATAATAACCTGTAACATAAGATCCATGAGAAGACACTTATGAGATGCAATCTGTAATGTGTAGTTAAACAACCTGCTAAGTCTTGACAATGTTTATAGTTCTCAATGATCATCTGGAAATAACTTAAAAGAATACGCATGCAATTAAGATATGCCAATCAAGCTTAAGAGAAGTTTCCTAAGTTTGAAAATCCACGTTCCCTGCTTTGTTCTCAGCCCAAGCACCAACTGGTCACCTTGTTTTCATTTGTACAGAATTCTACAGACAGAGACAAAGTATTCTAAAAAAAAAATGTGGCAGAACAACTATGCCATGAATTTAACCAATCTAAACTTCACTGGGAAGGTGTACAGTTTAAATAGAATCTGCTTGAATTTATAGCATATTTTACGTTCTTTGCAATTCAAATAGGCTACTTGGTTTCCTTGGCTAATAAGGAAAAACAATGGAAAAGACAAAATATCACATATTTTTGCAAATACATTATGAATCTGGGGTATTTAGAAATACCTATTATTAATAATAGTCATTACTAAACACTAATGATTTTGTAGTAAGACAGACTAACGTATGATTTAAATTCAAATGAAAATAATTTCCTCGTTTCTCCATGCAAAGATGCCGAGACATTATAAATGTACATTGTTGTGGTTAATTATTCCTATTCTGTTTACTTTAAAAAAATAATAGCAGAACCTCAGCTCAAAATTTGATCCCACACTAAACAATAGAATTTTGCTTTTCAGATAAAAACATACTTCGTATTGTTTCCAATATAAGGTTATTTAAAGTGCTGTACTAAGACAGGGTGCATAGGAAGGGAAAGAAAAAACCATAATTCATTTTAGTCATGTCAGAGAAAGATTGGCATAGCAGAGAAAAAAAAACCTGTTCAAGATTTAGAACCTCCATAGAAATACAATCATAGAACCACAGAATCATAGAATGGCCTGGGCTGAAAAGGACCACAGTGATCATCTGGTTTCAACCTCCCTGCTGTGTGCAGGGTTGCCAGCCACCAGATCTGGCTGCCCAGAGCCACATCCAACCTGGCCTTGAATGCCTCCAGGGATGGGGCATCCACAACCTTCCTGGGAAACAATGCACTGTAACTGAACACAATCTAACTCACATTACTGCTTCCAATACTGTTTTCACTTAAAAGAACATTTCAGTGTCAGGCCATGCCAGAAAATAAATGCCGTTTATTAGTCAATCTGTACATAAATTTGAGTCCTCTGAGAGCATTTACTTACTGCTTTGGCATCTGTAGAAAGGTATGCCAAAATAACAAATGATAAAAATTCTCATTAAATCAGACTTGACAATGTGTTTGTTTATTCAGTTCATGCCTTAAGACCGTGTACTTGAGCCAAGATTTTTCTAAACATGCAGAGTGGACTGGTAGTCTGAAGGCTCCCAGCAGGTTCATGAAAAGCGTAGGAAAAGGGGTTATGAAAGACTGCCTGTGCTTTGAGGTCAGTATTTCTCTTTCAGATCCTAAATAGGAACTTCCGTTTTGAGTCTAACTCTCTTTAATTTGCTAAAGAATAATTTACTACGTGTCTTCTAAACTCAGCTGAGATAGCTGCGTAGAACACTATTACCTCCACTCTTCTCCTGCATGGCTACATTTCTCAGCCACTATCATCTAGGAGCAAGCTCATAGGGAAATTAAAATATCGAAGTGACAAGACGCTCTGATTTTACGTTTCAGAATAACGACCACCGCAAAAGACGCATTAAACAGTACTACTAATGATTTTCAGTGCCCCAAATCTGCATTTATGAAGGCAACGGCACGAAGGAACAGTACGAAGCGCTACCAACGCGTGATATCACCGCCTCCTGGTGGCTAGTTCACAGAATGACCGGGAAAACCAGGGGAGAAAACATCCCTTTGTATAAATAAAGCGCTAGGTACATCCAGAAGACTGGCATTTAAAAAAAATAGAAGCGAGGAGAGGAGATAGGAAAGGCGATTAGAAATAAAATTTAAAAGTAAATAAATATCCTTAAAATGCAAAATTAGCCGAGAGGAATAATGTAACTTTTTTTTTTTTTTTTTTTTTTAAATAAGCTAATCCTCACTTTTTTCTCAAACTAAAATGTGAAATGTGAGGTGGTTAACGCCTCCTTTCTCAGCCCCTTTGCCCCGTACAAATGCATGTATCCCAGCAGCTGTTAAGAAAGAAACAGGGAAGAAGAAAGTGAAGTACCTGAACAGAAAGATAACGTATTGCCCCAGGGTATAACAAAAAATGACTCACAGTTTTTTTGTAAAGCAATATTTCCTGATAACGGATGAGAGAAGAGTGATATGGCTTCTTAGCAAAAGTAAGTTTGACTTCCACTCCACACACAATTGACAGCTGATGGAACTGTTAATGTCCAAAGCAGTATTTAAAAACTCCATATATCACACACACATAGAAATGCAATAGTTTCAGAGTATGTTCTATCTCTTAAGAGTACCCATCTATTCCACAGCTGTCCCCACCTAGCTTTGCTTTAGCCATTAGAATTTATGCATTTTCAGCTTTATCCTTTGTACCAATTTCATCAGTTCATTTGTGTGAATAATATGCATACTATTTATTGCCATGGTATTTTCACAAGATATTCTATGTAATGTATTCAGCACATCTTGAGCAATAGCAACGAGGCCTCTTTTTGCAGGCTGTGATCTGCAAGCTTAATTCTGTATGTTGTTGTTACAGCAGTAGTGCACCTTTACATTCTTTTGTTGATGATAAGCAAAGGCAGCATATTAATTTGGTGTAAACCAATGCATTTTCTTATGTCTGTGTTAGTAAAAGATGAACTATTAGATTAACAAGGCCAAAGCTGAGATGAGCAGTTTGGTTCAAAAGTTTTTTTTTGTTTGTTTGTTTTTTTAAGTTGTGATATTTTTTATCTAAACTTGAAAAGTCTGGATGAGGAGCTGCAAGATCTGGTTTAGTAGCTTGTGGTAGCAGTGGTAATGTGAAAACGTTTGGACTAGATGATCTCGTAGGTCGTTTCCAACCTTGTGATTCTATGAAAAGGATCTAGGATCTATCTAGTTAACTCTGGACAGGAAAAAAAAGGATTTCAATCTCATGTTAATGGATGCCGAACATCTTTTTTTCCCCTCATCTGTAATGATGAGTGTGAACAGCAGGAGATCAAGTGATTTAAAAGATGAATTGGTAGAAAATATAAAGGATAACTTTGCTTGTGTTTGGGTTTTGTGTGTTGTGCTTAGCATCACTGAATATGAATAAGAATGTGCTCAACTATATTTGTGAAACAATTTGTAACAGATGCATTTTTCAACTAAAGCAGTACTTCAATCACAACTGGCATATATTTTATCAACACTTATAATACAATCACTTTTCTAGTACACTAAGCAGCAATTCCAAGTTTTGCAGATATGCATGCACCTTGCCTGAGGGGGAAAAAAAAAAAAAAAGAAAAAAGAAAAAAAGAAAAAAAGAAAAACCTTTTGTCAGAATTCCCTTTTTTGCAATACTAGTTTTTAGGACTACTGTATGTTTTGTTCTGTTTTCCCTTTAGTTCTTCATCAAGTTTGCTCTCCTTCAACTTTCCTTTAACACCTTATGTCCTCTTTTTGATATACATATACACACACGCATATATATATATACACACATCCTTTGAATAACTTACTTGCTGTTCAGAACCATTTGTATTTTCTTTTCCCACCACACCCGCGTACCTGAGATTTGCATAGGTGCCGTACGTCTCCCTCAGAGGAGATGGCAGGGAGCTGGCTCTTCTCCCAGGCGACAAGCCATAGGACTCGGGAAAACGGTATCAGGCAGTGCCAGGTGAGGTGCAACGTGGGGATCACAAAGAACTTCACAGAAAGAACGAGCAGGCATTGGGACGGGCTCCCTAGGAAAGCAGGGGAGCCACCATCCCCGCAAGCGTTTAGGAAACGTGCGTACAGCGCTAAGAGACACGGTTTAGGAGTGGATTTGGCCGTCAGGCGGATGGTCGGGCTCACTGACACAAAAGCACTGCACAGCCCCAGAACACTGCAGGCAGCCAGCGACCGAGCACGTGGTTGTAAAGTCCGCCAAGCTCCAACACGCCTTCTCCAGAGGCACAGCCTTTCTGTTTTTCAATTTTACCGGCAGCCCCGCCCCTCGGGCTCTCCGGCCTGTCACAGCGAGCACCGCCTCCTCTCTTCGCGGCTCGACCAAGATGGCGGCGCCCTCCGATCCCCTCAGCGTGGCGCGCGGGCTTGGCGCGGCCGAGGAGATGGTGGGGGGTCTCGCGCCCTTCGACGGTTGCAGCTGCAGCAGCTCCTCTGACAGCAGTGTAACCGCCCTGCACGCCGGGTAGCTTGCTTCTTGGGGTGCTTCTTGGGTCGTGAGGAAAGAAGTTCTGTCAGAGCTCACCACTGTACATTTCTTCCGTATGCTGTTAGGGTAATAATTTAAAATAATTTTAAATCCTTCGTGTTCTGTTTTATTTCAGGAGAGAACGACATATCTGTTACTTCATAAGCTTTTTATCTGCAGCTCTTTAAGAAGCTGAGCTTTCTCATTCCATTTATTCAGTGATCTCACTTGCTCTGTGGTTCGTGGTCCATCTTCAAAGCACAGACTGAGTGTTTCAGTCTAGTATTTCTTTTCGTTGTACTTAATTTTCAGTCGGATTCTCTTTTGAGACCTGGACTCATTTTCCTAGCTGTGCACTGTAAATGTATGCAGACTTTAGTAGCACGTTCCCAAGCACCTTAAGGTTAGTAACATGAAAAATAGACCTATTCTTAGAGTTGATACATTGTTTTACATCTTCCAAGTCTCAGTATTGTAACGTCGAAAAAGAATATCTCACAGACAGTAGGACCAAACCATGCCTTCACACAGAAGTATAATTTTGTTTGTTTTCTTCTGCATGCATAAACTAACATGGCACCAATTTAGTCTCTTGTATTTGGAGTTCACCAGAGCATTAATTTAAAGCTGGGTTTTTATTCTTTATAACTTACTTTCAGTTAGGCTGGTCAGATTTGCTCTATGCTATCTTCAGAAACATCCAAGTGCTGGGGAGCATCCTAATTGCAGCACCTCCCGGCTACGTAGTGTGTGTGAGAGAGAATTTTCTCCCTAATTTTCCCCCTTGCCTTTCTCCTCAGGCTTCTATTTTTAAAAGTTTCTCTGTATGTACAAATATACTGAGATACATTATTCAATTCAATTGTATGGGCAGAAGCAGTTCTTGGAAAACCTTGCTTTCAAAATGTAAGGCTTCCTGGAGTCTGGAATCTTCCTGTGGTAGGCAGCACTTGAGCAGGCAGTCATTGGTTAGGATTTAGACATTCCAGCTCTGTTATGCTTAAATCTGTTCCTTCCTGATTGTACTCCTTGCTGTCTTTTCCTCCTTTATCTGTTTCTGATTTTGTTTGTTTGTTTTGGTTCCTGGATTCTTTCCTAGTATTTTTATATAATATTAGCTTCATCTTCCCCCACTGTAAATGACTTTTTGCTTCTTACACTCCCACAAACCCATTGTGGCAAGCACTATGTGGAAGCAACCACTAGATGGCTTTAAACATATCGTGTCCCATGCCTGAAACACTGTCTTGGACCTTGAACAGCAGGTTTTATGACAACACTGTGCCCCAGAAAGAACTGAGTCAGACAGTGGGACTCATTTCCAAAACAATCTCATAACCACCTGTGCCAAAGAGCATGGTACTAAGTAGGTATATCACATCCCTTGTCATGCACCAGGCTCAGGAAAATAGACTAATACAATTCAAAACTACACTGAGAACAATAGGTGCTGGGACATTTGAACCCTGGCATACCTTTAGCAAAAGCTACCTGGTTAGTCAACACTCAGGGATCTGCCAATTTAGCTGGCCCTGCCCACTCGAATCTCTTACTGTACTGTAGAAGGAGATAAAGTCCCTGGAGTACATGTGAAAAGCATCTTGGGCAAGACAGTCTGGATTATTTCTGCCTAGAGCAAAGTAAGCCCATCCGTGGGATTGCTTTTGCTGAAGGACTTGGATGCAGTTGGTGGGTGAGAGGATTGGGAAGTCCAGTGTGTACGTCAAGATTTGATTTGGGGTGAGAACAGCCAATAATCTGAATTGTATTATGCTTGTTGTTATATAACAGTGCATATGATCGCTACTATGATTGCTATATGCCTTATCAATTATGTTATAGTAAAAATGAGCTAGGTGAAAGGAGATTTAATTATTATAGAACCAGAATTGAATTCAGCATGCAACAGTCCAGGACTATGCATCATCCTGCCAACCCTAAAGGACTGTTAGGACAGATGGAGCCCAGAGTCATGGACTAAATGAGCTCCATGGTCACTTCAGAGGGATGGCTTCTAGACTATGGGAATGATTTCTGTGTATCAAAAAGTAGGAAAGATGATAGTAATTCATGGGAATGTATGGGAAAGTATGGAATCCAGAAGATAATATTGTCCCCATTTAAGCAAATTCCAAAAGATTTCAGAAGACTTAATTTGGTCCAGCATCTTTGATAGGAACAGTAGTATGTTAAATAAGATGGTAACTTCTTTTTAATAAGTTGTGGGACACAGTAGCCACAAGCCTCAGGGTCTGTGCTAGAAGTTACCTAATACTTAACTTGAATTGCACTGTCTGGCTCTGCTGGGTAAAACAGGAGTGATTTGCTGGCTAATGTTGCAACAGGCAGAGAGTCATAGAATCATAGAATTCCTCAGGTTGGAAAAGACCTTAAAGATCGAGTCCAACCACGACCTAACCACACTACTCTAACAACCCTCAGCTAAATCATGTTCCTGAGCACCACATCCAAATGGTTTTAAACACATCCAGGGATGATGACTCAACCACTTCTCTGGGGACCCTACTGCAGTGCTTTACTGCCCTTTCTATAAAGAAGTTTTTTCTGATATCCAACCTAAACCTCTCCTGGCACAACTTGAGGCCATTTCCCCTTGTCCTGTCACCTGTCACCAGTGAGAAGAGACCAACTCCACTCTTGCTGCAATACCTTTCAGGTATTGAAAGAGAACAGTGAGGTCTCTCCTCAGCCTCCTCTTCCCCAGACTGAACAGCCCCAATTCCTTCTGTTGCTCCTCAGAGAAAGCTTTATCATAGAAATCTTTGAGTCTAAGTTCTGTAAGAAAAAATCAATATACTAGAATTTAAATGAGAAAGAAGGAAGATAAAGCAGTTTTGTGTAAATTAACATTTCTCTATTTGTGCCATGGGGAGCAGGGAAGCCATTTCCCTAAAAACAGCTCGTAGGCTATTGGAAATTTCATGTGGAATTGTTCTTGGCCTTCCCTATTGCATTATTGCATCCTGCTTTCTCCAGATCAGGCCAGCACCAGTGTCTTACAATTCTGTTACCCATACAGACATGATGCAGATGCCTTTAACCTGGTGTTATGTAGTGCATCAGAGGAAAAGTCTGTTGAAAAGTGAGGTGAGAACACTGAGAACACTAGCCTGTGTCACAGTATTTATGTGAAGTGGTTTATTTGGTTTCCTTTTTCCCACCATGGCTTCCATAGCCAGGATTCCCTGATGATTCTCCAGGAAAGAGAAACTGTTCCAGCCAGCAGCCATCACTAGATGGTGCACACTACTTACCATCCTGAGACCTGCTTTTCCTGCCGGGGTGCATGCCCAGCTCCTAGCTTCCAGCCCTGGGCAGGGTGGCATGAGGTGAGCCAGGTGGTCAATGCCAAACTGGTTTGAGTTAGAACGAGCAAGAAGCAGAGCTGCGTTGTTGTGCACCCTCAAACTGGTCATGCTTAGTACTACATTTTGGGGGATAAGAAAGCATTTCCGTAGGACAAGCTTTCTCTTGTTGAAATAATGTTGAAGAAAGATGTTGCTTAGTTCCTTAAACAGCTTATTGGCCTGCAGAAATACCATGTGGTCTATTAATGAACCATCTGGTATGTCAGCTCGGCATCATACAGCTAGTTTTTCAAGACAATTTAGGTTTTAGATATGCAAATAAGATGACATGGTACAGAACAACAAGGATAGGTTGTTGATGGTGTCAGTTTCAGTTTGTCCACAGTTAATATGAAAAGGTGATGAATACAACCTGGAGTAAATTTACTCTTTATACTTTCTCTGAATAACATTCCTCCAAGAACACTGAGGGAAGCAAAAGCTGTCCAAGCTGTGAGCTGAATGACATTGCAGTTGGTTCTGAACCATTGGGTCTCCTTCTATTTGATGGGTATTTGTCAAAAAAAAAAAAAAGCTTACATAGGAAAATCAAAATAAGGGTACGGGTAAGCAAAATCTGGACATTTTTTTTCCTTCTAAGGGATGTTTCAGTCATCGAGCATATGTCTTTGTCCTGACATAGCATTTGAAAATGTTGAAAACTTCTGAATCCCAAGCAGACACATTACAGTAGGAAACTGCCAGATATACTTTGGGCTCTCAAAAATAACCTCTACATTCTTGGAAGGAGTCAACAGATATACTTTTGAACCAAAGAAACATGAATTTGTAATGAACCTTCATGCTGCCTTATACAAATGTAAGGTGCATTGCCATCTGCAAAGGTATTTAGGCATCTCCTGAAATACAGCGTAAATTTTCTGGCCTGCTTGGATGAATCACTAAATGGCTTTTGACAAAAACAGGTTTTAAATGAAATAATAATGCATAGGATAATACGAAGATCATGTATGTGCCTGAAGTTGACAAAGTCAGGTAACTTGATAGCAATTCACTTCAACATGGATCTGAAACATTCACTATAAAAATGCAATTTGGATGTTTATGGAAGCTGGCTTCCATAGATTAATTGTCCTGGTGCAAGTTACCCATGTGGCACTTAAAGTGAGATTTCTATGCATTTTTTATTTCTTCTTTTTTGCTTTCATTTGATCAGTCTGCTGGGGGTGATCAAAACATTTCATCAAAACTTTGCACAGTGTTCTTTAGCTTAAAACAAACAAACAAACAACAAAAAAAAACCCACAACTTTTTCAGGAATATATATATTTTTAATGTGTTTTAACCTTAGTTTTAGTGCTTTTCCTGAATATTTTTAGGAAAGCTATAATGCTAAGTTATTTTTGTCAAACAACAGATTAGTTAATTGTACAAATAAAATAAAAAAGTATTAGTATAGTATCTTGTATTCTCGTGCCCAAACTCTTCTCTTGAGATGCAAAAGTACTCTTTACAGTAAAGAGGTAGTATCTGTTAAAATATTCATGGGTCAAAAAGAAAATATAGCACTGGCATTTATTTTATTTCAAGGAACAAAGCAAAGGATAGTAATTTATTGCAAATTTTAGCTCTTTAGAATTCAGGCAAAACCTGCACATATATGAAAACCTGCTGCTTGATTGAGTTGTTTCATTAACTGTATAAAATGAGACAAGGAAACACTTGGGAAACTGGTGAGATGTAGAGACAGAAAGTGCA